CTCCCAGCCCGTGAGCTTGTAACCGAGATGCCGATGGATCGAAACCCAGGCGCATCCGCGGGGGAGCACCAAGCAGCTCCCTTACTCCACAGTTCAGGCCCGCCAGCCTCTTGCGCAGCTTGCCGCGTAAACCCGAGCTCGCCCTCCACCCTACCCTGGCTGCGCGCCTGGGCGCGCTACCTGTGCCCCCGCGTCACCCCGGACACCCTGATGGCGCCCGTCGTCGCGCTCCTCATCGCCCTCCCCTTCTAAAAAAACCCCAAACGAACCAAAACATCAGCGCCTCTTAAAATGACGGAAACATTTTGCCAAACCACCCGGCCTTGACACAGAGAGACGGGGGGAAATGGACTTAGTACGCCGAGGAGTTTAAATTACGTTACGAGACAAATTAATTGAAATCTAATGTTCAATTAGCTGTCGCTGTTGAAATGAGCGATTTTGGGAAGTGGGAGGCAGAGAGCTTCTTAGGGGCCGGACTGCAGCGCTCCTGTACCTGCGCGGCGGCGCCATGTGCGCGCCTCGGCGCTGCACGCTTTTGCCTACGACGTGATAAAGACTGCGCACTCTGACCTCACACTCGTCTTCACGTGGGCGCAGAGGGGCGCGCAGCCCCCCGGCCGTGCGCCACCGCTCCTTCCCGCGCAGCGGCAGCGCCACTCTGCCTCCCGCAAAACCCGCACCGGTCTTCACGTGCGCTGTGTGCGACTGGCCCGCAATGCGCAAGCCAAGTCTCCGGAGGCCGAGGCGAAGCTTTAAGCTCGTCCTGCTCCAGCAGCGTATTTTTGGGGGGGATCAGGGCAGCATACAGCCGGCCGGTCAATATACTGCCACCCTAGAGTTACCGATAATGTTATGACGTTGAACCTAAGTACGAAAATAGTCTTTTGCTAACATCCAAGCGCCTTTCCCGAACTTCGTGGCTTTCAGAAAGGGCCCCAGATATGGTAAAACGCCAATTCGGAAACACTCCTTTAAACATTTCCATCCACAACACAACCTCACCATGTTCTTCATCTAACCCAGCCTGTGGAGATAGAGAAGGGGTTTTAATCAATGTCCTCTTGACTATTTGCGTGCAGTTCTCTGCTATTTTTGGTTATGACCTTTGCAGAACATAATATGAACTGTAATTGCTTTAAGAAAAATTCTAAGGAGGGAACTTAGGAGAATATTCCTCTCCTCCACATTTTCCACAGTTTAAGTGACAGATGAACAAATACAAGTAAGAAACCCCTAAACACAATGGTCCCTCAAATTAATTAAAAAAAAAAAAGTTTTCTTTTTCATAGACAAAAAGCAAAGCAATAGTTTGGGAAAAAAATCAGTTTGAGCTAAAAATACAACAAAAATCCCCGTGCTAACCTGGCACCTAAGGGACCGTTCTCCTGGCACTTAAGGGACCACTCTGCAGGCACGGCTGGGGCCGAGCGTCCCCGTTCACTGTAGGGGCTGCCCACAGAGATGTCGAGACCTTACGGAGACACATCTCAGTTGCTGCCCAGGCACATGTCCCGTGCCCACCACTGCGCAAGGTCGCACTGCATCACTTTTGGCGTTCATGGCAGGCCCAATTCTCCTGGGAGACAATCGTAGGTCAGAAGGGACGCTCGGGTTTGCCTTCTACTCTCAAAAGGAGGGAAGCACAACACGAACAAGGCTTCGTACCCCACGCTGGGCCTCACTGCCCGCAGTTCGTGCCTTACAGACAGGAGGGCGGCCCGCGGTCAGAAAGCCCCGCTCCATGACCCTCAGCAGCGCTGCCCCAACCTTGAATGGTTTATAGCAAGACCGCCCGGCCTTTCCCCATCTCAGCAGCAGCAGCGACACCTCACACTGCAGGCTTCGGCCCGGCGGAGTCCGGAGCTGCAGATCCCCATCCGTGCAATGCTGCGCAGGGACCAGCGGCACTGGCCTGCGCTCCCGACGGGCACCTCCCGCGGCCAAGCCTGCACTTTTCACCGCCTACCAGGGGGACCTTTAGCACTACTGATCTTATTTTTGTTGTGATCAATTTCTGTGCAGAGGAGGAGAAGAAAAAAAAGTTATGATTATGGTAATAATAAAAATAATGATTTTAAAACTAAAGCAGAAATGCCTGTGCGGTGAGCCAGCCCATCGCACTGAGAATGAGGAGGTGACCTCCGCCAGGACCACGCACGTCACTTCAGGAAAGATATTCCCTCCGGGGGCAGAGGATCCCGACACGACCTACCTGCGCCCGAGCAGGAGGTTTCCCTTTTCCCCCTCCCTGACTGTAAGCCGCCCCCCCCAGCTCGCCGAGCCCACTCCTCCCGCCCCTTTTGCAGCCTGGGCCACGGGTAGCGCAAGTTGCGCGGCCGCCCCGCTGCGGAGGCCCGCGGACCGCCCCAGGCATTAGCAGTAATTACACACCGCACTTGTTCAGGCTACGCACAGTCCCCCCAGCTCCCCTAACCGAGCAGCACCACTGACAATGCAACGGGTTATTAAACAAGCCGGGATAACAACTGCTTTCCTCCCTATTTTTTTCGTCACAAACACCCTACCGCTGGAGACCGCTGAGAAAACCCAAACTACAGGAAAGCCGGCGCCTGATCGCAACAAAAATAACAGGCAAATAGCACACGCAATCGCCTCTACCCTGTGCCTTCTTTAAACTTTATTTTAAATATATGACGGGGGGCAGGAATGGCCTTATTACGCAGCTACCCCGCTGGCAAACCCATCTGCCGGGGCAGAGGGAGCTGCCCCGCCGAGGGTCCCCTCTCCAAGGAGAAGGACCGAAGGTGCGAGGCAGTGAAAGCCCCGCCGTGCCCCTGGCCCGGCAGCCCCGCTCACAAGCAGTGGGGGTGGGAGGGAGCCCCCAGTTTAGCTGCCCCTCCGCTCGCTACAGGGAGAGGGGACGGTGGGGAGAAGAAAGTGAGCCTGACTGACAATAGGTAACATTTTATTTCCCTTTACTGGTGAAAAACGGGCAGTAGCATTTAAAACGTGTCCCTGGAGCGAAGGCGCTCAGCCTTTACTCGTCATTCTCTTCAATTTTACCACAATCGGACGATGGAGCATTTGGGCTTCTCTTACCCAACTTAGCAAACAAATCAATATAAATAAGGCCGATTTTTTTTAGAGGTACTATGACGAAAAAACAAAGACTATGCTATACTCACAAAAACATATTCTAAGCCAGCGTTATAAAATGACACACACTTCCCCATGTTCATTCGATCTCCTGAAGGTGTTTTCGGATTATTGCTTTGGAAGGGAAGCACAGCTCAAAAGTGAGGTAATAAGGCTGAACTGTAAATACCTTTGTATTTATTTACAGTATAACCCTTAACAATGCAACAGCAATTACTGCTAAGTGTTCCCTTTAGATAAGAGCTTCTGTTAGGAAACTGTACTACCTTGAAAGCAAATTTTAGGCCTTAAGTATCTGTAATCAAGTAAGCTTATTCTCAAGGCTGTGACTGACAAGGCTGATTCTTTTACGTTAATGCATTTATTGCATTTTGGTGGTTACTTACAAAAAGGGAAGGTGACCCCCATGGTTCGTAGGTTCTTAATAGCAAATTGTCCAGAAGGTAAAATCCTTGATCTGACAAGATGTCAGTCTGTGCAGCACTCATCTGCTACCCTGGTAATATATATATTTTTTTTCCGATTTAAGGAAAAATGAGGGGGGAAGTAGAAAAAAAAAAAATAAAACACCCCCCTTCCAACTATATACGAAAAATTCGCCCACACAAAATAGTTTTAAAATAATTTCAGTCCGAACAATTAAGATACAGACCAGTGAAGTCCCTGAAGGACGGGAGTAATGTAGAGCTACTATAAAGGTGTAAGGGTGGACTGTACAAGTACCCTTTAATCCAACTACTTTTTTTCCCCTGAAATAAAATAGTATTTTAAAAATAGGTATTACAGAAGCAGCTTCACAGATGTGATTGCACGCATTGCTATTAATTCTGAAACGCAGTGATTTATATGTTTGCATTATATTTAAGAATAAACGTACTACAGATTTGGCATCTGCTATACACTGTGGAATTTAGAAAAATATGCAATGCGTATATGAAGCTATAAATAACTACGTAATCCTTCTTTAAATATAGGTACATATGTAAATCCTAGATATAAATACATTTGAAACACACAGAGACCGATAAATAGCTCGATATATATACACAGTTACACAAGGGCAGGGATCTACTGCATGCACTTCTACCTCGGAGTTATCGCTTAATATATCCTTACATAGGCATATTATTTAAAAAGCCATAATCTTGTCATACTACTGTGTATGGTCAAATGTTTCCAGGTCTTGCCCATTAATTGCTAAGAAAACGTGTTTGTTTATTTGCCAACTCAGAGCTGCCATGGGAAAGTATTTTTTTCCTAGCGGATAAGGCGAGCTGACTAAGTGGAACATATTGCAGAAGAGACTGAAAAGGGATTTTTCGACCTGGCAGTTCCTAAATGGTCTTTGGAATTTGTGCGGAGGGGAACAAGCTGTTCCAGCGACAAAGTTAGTTATGAAATCCCTTTTCCCTCTCTTTTTCTCTCTCTAAATGAAAGTATTAAAATATACAGACGTGTATCATTCCAACTGAATGGTAATTTATTAATAAACAAACAATGCAATACCTTCAGAATATTTTCAACAAAAAAAAGAAAAATATTGATAGAATAAGATTAATACAGTTTCCCTTTTTATATAGTGAAAAAAAATCAGCGTTTCAGTCAATTTTAACGTCATTTTTCAGGAAAGGGGGAAACACTTTCTGGCGTTTGGTCCGCAACATTCAACTACAAATTAAAAATAAATTACTATGTCGCAATTTACATTTTAAAACAAGTCCTTGTAGAAGAGGAAGGGGAGAAGGGAAGAAGCTGGTACTCTACGCTGGACTTTTCGCTCCCTTTTAAAAACGGGGCATGACAATACCTTAAGGGACGCGGGGTGGGAAGAAAAAAAAGTATTTTTCAAAGCAATTAAAAAAAAAAAAACTTACGTGTTATTGGAGTAACACTGTCCTTTAACAAACCAAGACATGCTTTTGGGGCTGTCTCTGTACAAAAGCTTTTCGCGATGCGCTCGCTTCCCTCCGCGGGCGCGGTGCGGAGCAGAGCAGAGTCCCCGCGGTGTCCCCGCGACGCGGTGCGCTCAAAACTTGCCGCAGTCGTAGACGAAGGCCCCGGAGGTGCGGTAGAGCGGCTGGCTGCCGGGGAAGGCCATCTGACAGCTCCCGCCGCCCCCCGCCCCGCCGCCGCCGCCGCCGCCCCCTGCCCCGCCGCCGCCGCCGCCGCCGCCCGGCGAGGCGCTGAGCCCCAGCCGCGGCGCCTCGAACACCTCCCGCGGGGCGGCGGCGAAGCCCTGCTGAGGCCCCGCGTAGCCCGCCGCGCCCGCCAGCGGGCCCAGCTCCCCCGCCGCCGCCGCCGCTGCCGCCGCCGCCGCCGCCGCCTGGTTGAGGTACCAGGAGGCCAGGCGGCCCTGGTGCGGGTGCGGGTGGTGCCCCTCCTGGTGGCCGCCCGCCGCGCCGCCCAGCCCGCCGTGCCCCAGCGCCCCGCCGCCGCCGCCGCCGCCCCCTGCCCCACCGCCGCCGCCGCCGCCGCCGCCCGAGGGCATCGAGTAGTCGGGCAGTGGGTCCTCGGCGGGGCTGGCGGCGGCGGCGGGCAGGTGGCCGGGCCGGTCGGCGCCGCCCGCCGCTGCGTAGAGGCTCATGGCCTGCATGTTGCAGTGGTAGGTGCCTGCGGCGGAGCCGGCGGCCGCTTGGCTGCAGGGCGAGCCGTAGACGGAGCTGTGCCCGGGCGAGTACCCGCCGAGGGACAGAGCGGGCGGGATGCCGGTGCGCGGCGCGGCGGCGGCAGGGGCCAGGAGGCCGGCGCCCAGCTCGGCGGCGGCCTGAGGCGAGCCCCGCAGCGAGGTCATGATGTTGTCCACGCTGAAGCCCGGGCCGTGGTGGTGGGGCGGCGGCGGGGGCGGCGGCGGCGGGGGCGGTGGCGGGGGCTCGGGGGCCTCCAGGCTGAGGGAGCGGCTGGAGGGGAGGGTGCTGCGGGGGCTGCCGCCGCTGGAGAGGCTGCTGCTGCTGTCGGGGCTCTCGATCTTGGGCACGGCGCCGAGCGGCGGCGCGGCGCCGGGGGGGGACACGGCCTGCGGCGGCGAGGCTGTGCCGTTCTCTGTCTTGATGTCCTGGATGCGGACGGGCGGCGGCGGCGGCGCGGCGCTGCCCCCGGCGGGGCCGCCCTCGGGCTCAGCGGCGGCGGCAGCGGGCGGCGGCGGGCGCGGCGGGGCATGGTCCTTGAGGTGCAGGCGATCCTTCTCCTCCTTGTCCTTCACGGCGTCCTTCTTCTTGAAGCGGCGGCGGCGGCGGAGGAAGCTGCCGTTCTCGAACATGTTGTAGGAGTCGGGGTCGAGGGTCCAGTAGCTGCCCTTGCCGGGCTTCTTGTCGTCTCGGGGCACTTTGACGAAGCACTCGTTGAGGGAGAGGTTGTGGCGGATGCTGTTCTGCCAGCCCTGCTTGTTGTCCCGGTAGAAAGGGAACCGCTCCATGATGAACTGGTAGATCCCGTTCAAGGTGATCTTCTTATCGGGCGCGTTCTGGATGGCCATGGTGATGAGGGCGATGTAGCTGTAGGGCGGCTTCACCATATCCTTGGGCTGCGGCGGTGGCGTGTAGGGCCCGTAGGCTCGGGCCATGCCAGCCGGGTACTGCTCGTGGGCCGGGTGGGAGTACATGCTCATCGGGGCCGGCATGGCCGTGTAGCCCCCGCCGGCCGCCGCCGCCGCGGCGCGGTAGTAGCTCTGCTCTCCGCCGAGGTACGGCACCACTCCCAGGGAGTTGGGACTGGACACGGAGTAGCGAGCCTGCATGTCCTCCCGTCAGCTTTCCCCCACCCTCCCCGCCGGACCAAACAGCGCGTCCCTTCCCCCTCCACCCCTCCGCCGCTCCGCGGACCGAGCTGGACCGGGCGGCCGGGCAACCCCCACCCCCCCACCCCCCCGGCGGAGCGCGGTAAAAGGGAGAAAGAATAACGACGGCAGCGCCGAAAGTCTCCTTCGCCCAGGAAAGCCCACCGGCGAGCTCCCGCGCTCCACGCGGAGGGGAAAAAAAAATCAAAAAAGGAGGGGAAAAAAGGAGGGGGGCAAAAAAATGGAAAAATTGTTTTAAAAAAGAAAACGGCGGAGGGGAAAAAAAGTAATCGCAGCGGAGAAAGCAACTTCCAAACGCAGAAAGAGTATTAAGAAAATAAAACCTTTGCAAAGAGGCTCCCACGGTCCCAGTTCCTTGTTCCACGGGGATCTGCAACAAGTTGTCTGCAAAGGAGGGACAAAAGTAGAGGGATGTGTTTTGTCGGCTTTTTTTAAGCGAGCAGAAGAAAAAAAATCCACCTTCCCGATCTCCCAGTGCAAAGTCTCCCTCTCTCTCTCCCTCTCGGTTTTTTCAGTCTCTTTTTCAGTCGCAGGCTGCTTTGGGAAGCATCGGAAAAACTCCTGAACTTTTGAGCATCCGTCACCACGGCGAGAACTTTTTTACGCACTTACAGTTTTCTCCTTTTTTTTTTCCCTCCCTCTCCTCTCTCGGTCTCCTTTTTTTTTTTTTTCCTCTCTTTTTTTTTTCTTTTCCTCCTTTTGCAGGCGGCCAGCTCCGCCCACTGAGCCGAGGCGACCAATGAGGGCCGGGAGACACCCGGGACTCTGAATGAGGAGGGAAAAAAAAAAGGAGCGAGCGAGAAAAAAAAAAAAAAAATAAAAAAAACACCCTGCAGCAGCAGCCGCAGGAGTTGTAGCGCTCGGGGACCGGCCACACACGCTCGCCGGCACACGCGGACGCCTTGAGCGCCGCGGAGCCCCGGGTTCGCACGGGCCTCTGCGCACCCGCGGCGATCCCCCCGCACCCGCGCATTTTGCGCGACGACCCGCCCGACCCCTACTGCCTCGTACCTCGCTCGCCCACCCACTCGCGTACTTACGTGTGCGGTCGCTCTCGCACACGCACCCCGGGTACACGCATGACGTGCATGCCCGCACCTGTATGTGTGTATATATATCTATATGTGTATTTGCTTCCCCCGGAGCTCTTCCCACCCAGGCGCACCCTGCGCTCTGCCACGCGTGTTTACCCCGAGATATTACTTCTCTTTTTTCTTTTCTTTTTTCTTTTTTTTTTTTTTTTTGTAAGCTCCTCGGTGTGTTTTCTCCGCACGCTCCGGTCGGCCTCTCTTCTCCCATTCCCTCCAGGCTGCCGCCCGTGTCGGCGGGCCGGCTCCACGCCTGTGTGTTGGCTCGCTCCCTGCCCTCCCCCGCCAGGAGCTCTTCCGCGGGGACAGAGAGGAAAGTGTATGTGTGGAGGGGGGGGGGGTGGGATGCCCCTGCCCCAGCAGCACCACCCTGCCTGCAATCAGCTGCCTGCCTGACTGCTCAAACGCTTCTGAAGAGATTGCATTCCTCCGGTTGACAGGGTTTTGACGAGTCTTCTAAAGCACCTTTTTATTAATCAGCCACCAAGGGCTTTTCTCTCTCTGTCTGCAAATGAAGCGCCCGCTGCCTCTGCTGTTTATAAGCAGGGGCGCGTTTCTTTGAATGGGGTCTGTAGCTCGCCCCTTCAGGTAATCTTTACGGACCATATGGAATGTGACATGAAGAGCGGATCCTTGCTTTATTTCTTTATTCACTTGAGACAGAGAGGGCATAATTTTGTTCCTAGTCTGCTTCAGAGTGGATTCCGTGCTTTGTCAGGTGTGTCGAAAAAAAAAAAAAGAGAGAGAGAGAGAAAAAGAAGCAAAATAAAATGAATGTTCCTTAAACTACTTGGCCAGTTCTACTATGAAGATTTTATTTCCTTTGCCTTTGTCTAACTATCTGAAATAATATTTGGGCTCTAATCAGAATAAGACTTTAACGGGAGCTCATAGGGAGCAAAGAGTGAGGGCTTGGTTATTTATTTTTTAAATTCTACTTTCAATTTTTTCTTGTATTTGAAAAAAAGCAGCAGTTCTTTTCATACTTTAAACATGGAGAAATTCGCATACATTGTTGCACAGAAGTCTAGTTTACCAATACGTTAGATATTCGAAATACAACTCTGTAGTCTTCATTCTCTTTGGAGACCATACCTCTGAAATTTCATTAGCGTTAATAATAGGTCAGTTGAAAGGATCAAGCTGAAATCTATTTTAAGAGGTGGAATTTGTATGGAAAAGATGTGTGTGTGGTGTGTTTGTGAGATGAATTACCCATCCTGATCTTGTGACACTACAAATACGTCAAAAGACTCTTTTGGTTTCACTAATTTGAAACCCCCTTTCCACACTTTTTACTGTGATCGATTGCTTTGGGGATCGTGTCTTTGGAGCGTGTTAAAGGTGCATCATTTGCCTGGTGGTATTTTAGCAAGTACGGCTTTTCTGCTGAAGCACCGATCAGTTGGTTATTAAAAAATAAATAAGTAGTTTAAATGAGATTCAGCTCATATGAAGAAGGTAATGTATGTTGCTTAATATCTGCTTTTTTTCATATTCAAACGTAACGGGTCTCCTTTTGGTAATAAATGTCAGTCTTTTAATGGTGAATACATTATCCCGTTTAGCCTGTTGTATTTCATCATCTGGAATTTTTCACCTGCTCCTGCCTAATTACACTTTTTTCCCTTTCCTCACATCACGGCAGAATTAATAAATGTGCAAGCGCTGGACTAAATGTCAATTCCAACACTTTATATTTTCAAAACCTCTTTCTTGTTTTACTGAGGGGGAAAAAAAAAAGGAAAAAAGAGAAAGAAAAAGGGCATTTTAGCACGTTTCCATGGTTTTCCCAGGTCATCCGGTTTTCCCACGGTGTTACCTGCCTTTAAAAACAATTTCCACGGGCTTCCCTCTCGCTCCCTTGAGCGTCCATAACGGGCCGCTCCGAGACCCGGAGCCTTCAATGACTTTTTCATTTTATCTGGACAGTGTTGACGGTAGCGAAGCTGTTTTACAGGCAGAGGTTGGAGTAACACCGAGAAGTTTCAGCACAGGGAAGGGGAGGGGGCATTAATCCGGCGTATTTTGCATTGAATATATTTTGCAATAGCCACTCCGATGCTATAATTGCTCACTGACGCAACTAACGTGGGTTAAGTTACAGACCTCAACCCAGCAGGACTTTGGTTTCTCTACTCGAGGCACAAAAGTCACCATTGTGAAGGTTCATAGAGGGATTTGGGGGTTGTGTGTGTGTGTGTTGTGGGGAAACAGTGGTTTTAGGGAGGCTGAAAGATCAGTTTTCCCCCTGCTGTCTTTGGACACCACCCAGAAAGAGTCCTTGGCTCTTGGGCTTCACCTACCATGCCGCTCGGCAGGGCTACCTCTTCCCAGGGCTCTACCTCCGCCGCCTTACTCAGCCTGGCCTCCGGGCGGGACAGTCGCCTTTGAGGTGCCCCACCTGGGTCTGCCGCAGGAGCGAAGCAGGACGGCAGCAGCCTCAGCCTCCGTGGACCCCCTCTCCCGCAGGCCCCCGGGCGGCGGACACGGCCGCTGTCGCCTCCTCCCCGAAAGCCGGGCGAGAGGCGCCGGCGGAGGGACGGGAGCCCCGATGGGCAGCCCCAGGACAGGGGAGCCGCGCTTGTCTTGAAACTCTCCGAGGCTTCGCGTGTGTGGTCACTTGCAACCTTATTTAGAAATATGTCAGAAAGAAAGATGACATCGGAACGGTAGGCGGAAGAACTACCATTTGACCTGGGCAAAGCCCAGGTGGACACAAACAATTCTCTGTGCGTTGTCCTCGCTCCTCTCGAAGACCTGGGGGTGAACTGCTTTTCAGCCCCGGGCTGTTTATGTTTAGACGTAGTCAGAGCTTCGCTTCTCTCCCTTTCTTTTGGCTTCAACATCATAGCAGTATCCCTGTAACCCCGAAACCAGCCATCCAGCCCGGCTCTTTGCATCTCAGGATGCAGCTTTTCATGTTCTTTAAACAGCGGGCGACACCGCAGGAGCAAACCGCTGACATCCTTTCGAGGGGCAGGGAGGGAAGTGATCGCATCAAATCTGTGCTTTCACCAGTAGAAAAATCTATTGTGCCGAAAATCCCCTCTCTGTTTAGAGCTGCTGGACATGAGTGACAGCAATCCCTCCCTCCCGTCCTTGCACCAGCACCTCTGCAATCTCAAGCCTGTGCAATTAAGCCGAGCTCTAAATGCAAAGTCTGTTTTGCGTGGCACTCAGTTAAGCAAACAGGAATGATTGTTATTTTATTAATGTGGGTTAACAATTCCGTAAATAAGCAGAGGTAGTTTTCCAATCCAGGGCGTCTTTTATCTTGAGACATAAATAACACAACTTAATACGAAAATAAGCACTCCATTCCCTGTGGCATCTTTAGCCTCTCGTTCTTGACTGTGAAATAAATTATCCTTTGCAGTAAACGAGGCAGCAGTCAACGGCTTCGTGCAATTCACGAGAGAAATACTTTAATTTCACGTTCGGTATCTAAAAGTGAATTTTGCATTTAATTTACAAGGAAGAACCGAGACCATAAAGAGATCAGAGCCCGCGCATTTCATCTTCCCACGATAATTATCGCGGTCGTACATATAATTCGACTCTGTGACACAAGTTGCGTCCCAGAGTTGTCGCAGCACTAGGAGTAAGAACAAAAACCAGGCTGTGGGAAATTACTTGTGTTGTTTCTGCTGTAAAGTAATTTCTGTAAAATACTATCACACACACATACACACACAGACTAAAACCCGCAAGTGCATAAGAAACCTTTAATTTGGTAAGTTCTCTAGTTTGGCATCCGATGGTAAAACACATCTGAGGGGTTGGGGATGTTAAAAACTCACTCCTAAACTGACAAGAAGATAGCCAGACGTGGATTTTTTTTTTTTCTTTTACTTTCCAAGGT